TTCTGTAGAGAGCGGAACGTTTGACCATCCTGAAGATACATATGCAAGAGCTCAACTCGGAAGAAATGCGAATGCGCAGATTCACGTGTGGTGTCATAAAAGGACCACTTCTGGAATACTTGGAATTCTTGAAAAAGAGGCACTGTAGGAGTAGCACCAATTACAGAAAAGCTTCGACAGCAAAGTCCATTAGTTCGGCCGCGTGAAAAGACAATCCAGCAAGTATGTTGGAATTGTGATCCAAGCACTGATACGAAGAGGGGAAGACTAAAGTATACGTTGCATCGTGTCGTAAAGAACGACTGCGAGGAGTGACCGAAGATTCGACTGAAAACTAAGAATTGCAGAAGACGCTGGCTCGAACAACGCACCCCTGTTAAAGGGAACAAGCTAGGAAAAAGAAGATACGTCGAAACATTTTATTTTATTGTTTAAATAGTTCAATTCAGAATCAGAACGTACGTGACTCTTGCATCTCATGGTGAGCGCAATGTGGGGAAGGTAAAACTGTGTATAGCTGTCTCTCCTTTTGGTTGACGAACTTTGCCTTGTAATGGGCCATGACCTGTACCATGAGCACGTTCAAGGGTATCAACGCTTCAACGCTATGATAAGGTTACAAACGAGGGAAAATTAAATTCTGAAGAGACAAGAGTTTAGAAGTGTAAACATTTATTAAAAATTGTTATGGCACAACAAAGACATCCATGTCGAAAATCAAACGCGTCATGTTTCCCTTGTCTGTTCGTCTTGATCTTTGCTCGCTATGCTGTGATTATCCCCAAAATCATCCTCTTTCTCAGGTTCATTCCGATACGAACAATTCTGCTCGCACCCTTTTGTATGACCCGGTTCTTCAGTATGCTGTGCTTTACAACGGCGAGACAGTTTCGTCTGTCCCACTAAGAGATGCTCTTTCTTTCCGATTCCAACTTTCGATTTCTTCAGATTTCTTTCGGTTTTCGCAATGTAGCCGTCCGCTTAGGAGCGTTCACATGGCACATAATTCAACTGTTCCCCTACCTTGAGATATTACCTTTCTTGTATTGGAGGTCGTTTCGTCTGTCTGGAGATTTATACAGGCATGCGTTTAAAAACGGTGAAGCGACATAGCGTGTGTGGCTCTATAAAACAGTTTAAACCGAGGATTACTTACCGACCACCGTAAGCGAAGTGAATCAGCGCTTCGAAGCTCTCCGTGTCGACGTCCGGAAACTCAAGGTAGTATTGCCGTTCCTTGTTGTACGTGTTGGCGCTGAAGCTTCCGACCTTGATCTTTCGGAAAAAGTCAGGGAACGAACATCGATTGGCTACGTCGAACGCGTTTACCGACGTGCTCGAGCCCGAGCTGACAGTTGATGAGGTGAGCAACTCGTACAGTGTCGAACTGACAGCTGCAAGCACTACTCGATGCGCGTACAACTCTCGACCACCAACGAAAAGAATGACGTCACAGAGTTCCCGATTTCTACGGAGGGTGCTCAGACGCGTGAGCAGCGTGTCCTTAAAAAAGCGATGTCAATCGCTTAAACAGATATATGGAGCTAACCACGTCACAATGCCTTCTGTTACAAAACAACCATGGTTGACATAATCGTTAACGCTGACGAAACCAAACAGAGTAAGATTCAACACAGCGTCGATGGAGGAACAGTGCCTCAGCAACACTGACCGACAAAGTAGAAAAAGAAGGAAAGAAAGAAAGGTCCGAATTGTCTTTCTTAACCGCGTCAATGTGTGGGCTCGTTTTGGCAGCTTTCTTTCATTCAGACCAATGTGGCGCAATTGTAGAGCATCAGACTACCGCTTGACAATCACGGAGTCGAACCCCGGTCAGATCAATCGCCTTGTGTCCTCCCGAGGTACGTAAACGATTGCAATTATAAGGAAATGCATATCTTTGAATCAGGGAACCGGGAGGACCTTCAGTACGACCGAAGCTTGCACCGAACATCACTGCCGGTCCAGGATTCTCATAAATCAAGAACAAAAACGGTCACTCTTGTAAATAACTAACTATGGGCACTGGCAAATGGCGTTTCATGGTATCTTTTAGTTATAGGAAAGGAAGGAAGGTTTGTAACCGTTGGAATCTCGGTCTTCCTGACATATTCATGACAGGAATATTTCTGGCGCCCTTCTCTTCAAGGAATTAATCGCGGACGCTGATAGCCATTTTCATGTCATTAGTTAGGATTGCGTTTTGTAAAGGCAGGGTCGACAGCGGCTATGTTCTGCAAGCATAATTTTTAGCCTCTTGTTTCCTTCCCACAGAGTGGCATTCATTTATCAATCTTGGAAGGAAGAAAGATGAGTTACTAGGCCGAGGCTCGAACCAGGGATCTCTCGATTCTAAGTCCGATGCTCTACTTACTGAGCAACCTGATCTCTTTTTGTACACCGCTGGGTAAAGATCATTTCTGTTTACAACAATTAATGTTGTCCTGGATTAATCCAGCTTGTTCGTAGCATATATGGCCAGCAGATATATTCGACCAACCCAATACGTTCAGCATCAATATGTCTGCATGCACAACGTCAGAGCACCTTTTATACGCGTCTAGATGGCTAGGGACCATTTACGCACAGCAATGCTCAATGGTTTCTAAGCAGCTACAGTACGTCGATGAATCTCACATGAACTTTTAATTAGAGCAATTTCTAGCTCATTACCAATTATTCACTTTACCTTTAATTTTACCTTTTCCTTTTGTACCTGAAAGGACTCGCCTAGTTGAACGATCTACATGTAAAGGTATAGTTAGAAGTGAACTCTAAAACTTCAATTTTTAATAGATCAGCAGTCTTAGCTACAGTTCATTAATACTGCTTCAACTCATAGAATGCATGTTTCCATGAACACTGTCATATTCATATGTACAGAACATGAGCTGTGCAGTGGCGTAGCGCCACTCTTCCTAACAATTGAAAGTACCGGACTATACAGAAGCATTTAAACAAGACAACATTTTCTAATTTAACCGTAACTTCTCTAGAGACAGCAAGATGTGATGCTGAAACGTATTCGGAAAAAACTAGCGCAATGATGCGTAGCTCAGTCGAAAGCCTGCAAAACAGTGACAGCATGATGCCTGTTTCAGCGAGGCAATTCAAAAGCTTACGAAATGTAGGACTTAGCTGTTCAATTCAGTAAACGCAACTTCAACAGCTGCTTCACAAAAAGCATCTCTGCCTCTCCGTCTTACCAGGACGAGTCCAAAGGGAAACTGGTTAAACAACGAAAATCGTAAAACGCGGATATCCCGTTATTCAGCTTTGTACACAAGTAACTACTATTTGCTAATGGTGCTACCAGGGAAGCTGCTTTCAGTCATGTGCCTTATTAGGCAAACGGATTAATGCCGCTGAACATCTGTGACGACGTCAACAGAACAGCCATCGACCAACGTGTATACACGTACTTTGTAGTCGGGATCGACGAAGTGCAACGATGTCGAGCTGTCCTTCGACTCGATCATGCGGTCTTCATCATACTGATCGCTAACATCGCAGTAGCCATTGGCGCTTGACGAGTCGCCATCACCGCCGCTGCCGGAGGAGCCGCTTTTGCAATGCCGGTCCGCCTCGAACGACGATTCGTCCACCATCGAAAGCATGACTCGATTCGATTCGACTCGACTCGACTCAAAAGATTCTGCTTCCAGTTCTGGATCCGAAACTGACAGCGCTACTAAAACAAAACTAAAGTTCATCTTGCCGCAATTCATCAAAGGCTGAGGCACCAACTCCGAAGCTAGCGTTGACACAAACCGTTGACGGTCGGCCGGTACAACAACACTTAACGATGAACCGCGTACACACAAAAACATTGCTAACGCGACAAACTAGCGAAAGTCATAGTTTTGCATTACTCGCGATATTCATGCAGAACCGCTAGTTTGTCGTATTTCAGAACAGCATGTAAAAGACACGAATTTGCGAAATAATTTGGCTGTGCTTAATGATAATGCACCGCGTGTCCAGTGTCTATGTTATTAATCGACAACTCCCACGAACAACCACTGAATGAATTTCTGTGCAATACAGTATAAACACCTTTAAACCTCATAATGCTTCATAAATGGCAAAAATTGGATACTGCTTAATTCAAATTTCTCGAACAGGCTGCGAAAATCTCTTTTGTTTCGATGCTTTACTTCTGTTTAACCTAAGTCCTTCAGCGACGCTCCCTAAGCTAGCAAGAACAGCTCAACTGTTTACAACAAATATAAAGCAAATTAGTTCAACAACTATTACATGAAATTAATAATAAATGGACGAGTATCTTCGGCAAAACATGTGAAAACCCATAGACAGGTTGGATTAAATACGCGGCCTGCATGTGAAAGAAAAATTTAAGTCTGTAATACTTCGAAACTGGATCGTATTTGAATATTCACGATGAGGAACGCTCATAGCGTTCTTCTATCGCTGTTCGAATACTGCGGCGCAAATTCCGTTTCGATGACAACCGCCAAGAAAATTTACAATACCTACACATTTATAAAATGTTTTCAGTTAAGTCACAAACATAACGAATAAACGCCTATATAATAATGGTTGTACTCGTTAGCCACAACGGAAAAACGAAAGGTAAGTGACCTCCGGTGAGACCCGAACCAGAAATCCTTCGAGTAGATTACGACTCCGGCACCACACCGACTGAGCATCCAGGCTACAGCGATATAATAGTTTAACATGCATAATAAAAATTGGCTTTCTCTGTATTTATCAACAGTGACCAACTTCTGCTACTGACCTGGTCACAAAAGTTCACCATTTGCACAAAAAAGTGAGTGGTATGTGGCAAGACAGCAACTGTTTCAACCAGTAGCCTTAATTTCTTGAGACCTAATGGAAGAACTGAAGCACGTTCTCGCTACGATGTAGGATCAACAATCCGAACGGAACTGCTGTTTGCAACTTTGTCTTGTAGACTGATACTTCAATCTATCGTTGAGACAAACAATCGATGAATGCGGAAAAATCGGTATGAAGAACCATGCATTATTTATCACCACCGTCCGGCGTACGAATCCACATTTCTTTATTACTGCAAAGTAATACTGGACCTTAAAACGTCGTCGGTGAATCGTCATTGAACGAGCACGATATTACTCCAAGAAACAAAACAAAATGTGGCTCGTCTGGCACAGCAAATTAACTAAATATCAGAGATCTGCTGCCTACTATAATGGCCCCCTGAGCGTCTGTAAGCAATGGACAGTGCGACACGATGTGAAATATTATGAAAAGTTAGCTTACTAATGCAAGCAAACATGAATAACTTTAAAAGTATGGACGACAAAAAATAACTAATCTCTTCAG